TCTTTCTCTCACGGAACCGCTGGTAGTTTCGAACCGCCAACCTTGAGGTTAGCAGCCCGATTCGTAACCACTACGCTACCAGAGGACCATCAATATACAACCTATATTTGATACATTTACTTTTCTGCACTAACTTGATGTTGTCTTGTTTGTGGGGTTTTATTATTGATTTTATTCCCTGGAAACATCACATATTTGATCCTTATGATGTGCTACATTTTTTTGAGATCTTACTCTCTTTTATGTTTTATTTTTTTTCCTCCATGTATACAAATGAGCAAACCCATGGTGGCTCTATACGATAAGCAGTAGACTGTGAACCACAAGGTCAGCTGTTTGAGCACACCAGACACTCCACAGGAGAAAGATGAGGCTTTTGCTCCCCAAAACATTTAACCTCAGAAACTCTATAAGGATCACTATGAGCTGGAACTGACTCCATGGAACTTAACAATAACTATAGAAATCATTAATTATTTAACCATCATGGTGTGGTGCCGTAGGAAAAGCACTGGACCACAAGGTCAGTTTGAACCACAAGGTCAGGGATTCAAACCCACCAGCTGCTACTCCTCAGAAAACCTATACATGGTCGCTATGAGTAGGAACCAACTTGACAACACTTAACACCAATAATAATACCTTTCTATTTGTAATACTCCCTTGAGTAATACTTGCATAGTTGGTCTGGTGGTGGCAAATTCCCAGAGCTTCTTTTGTTTGGGAATATCTTGATTTCTCTCTTGTATTTTTAAATGACAACTTTGCTGGTAAGGAATTCTTTATTGGTAATTGTTTTCTTTCAGTATTTCATATATATCACTCCATTGTGTTCTGGTCTCCAGAGTTTCTGGAGAAAAATTCACACTGATTGTTATGAAAGGCCCTTGGTATGTTATATTGCCTTGCTCAGTTTATGCTTTCATAATTCTCCCCTTGTCTTTGTCTTTAAAGAATTTTATTAGGGTATGGTGTGGAATTTATTATTTTGTGTCTTTAATTGGGTTTGTATAGTTACTAGTTTCTTTTCTGTGTGATTTTTGCTTTCTTTAAATATCTTAACACTGTGGTCTGTCTGCAAATTGTCAATTCTTTGCATCTTTCTGGTATCTGTAGGATAAACTTTCTCTTTATATTTTGTTTTCAGTTGGTACCTTTCTTGTAATGCTGTGTGTTTTACTGTTTTGTTTTGCTTTTTGTTGAACTAGGGTTTTGTTTTTGTTTTTGTTTTTGCTTATTGTGGGAACAGAAGGACAGAGTGCCTGGTTGCCAATTGAAAGACTGGAGCCGATATGTACCAACCTCTCTGGGGGACTAAGATATGAGTCTGTGAAGACTTTCAGCCCTGGGAACTTCACAGGACAACTCTACTCAGACTTAGAGTCAAGCTATGACTCCGAATCAAAGTAGTGGAAGCAGGCTCAGCATGTTCTCCTGTGAAGTACTAGAGGCCACTCGTATTTTGTTTTTTTCTGTGCTGAATCAGGAATTCTGGATATTTGATTTAATATAAGCATGAGACTTAATAAGCATGAGCAGAAAGTGGGGTTTACTTGTTTGCAGATGCTAGCTAACATAGGAGTGACTCAATTTTCCTATGGCCAAGATAGAGGGGTCTCTCGGTTTTTCCTCAGGGGTGCTCCTGTTCATCCTTTCTTAGGGTTTCCTACTGTGGGCCATTTTCTCTCTGAAATATTCCTTTTGTCCTATTGCCCTTGCTAATCTTCCTAGTCTTTGTACCCATCACTCTTGGGCTTCAGCAAGATTGGTTAGCATTCTCTTTCAGGGCCACAGTCTCCCTTTGGCCCCTCCCAGTTGCATGTCCTATGAATTCCCATGGCTTTTTTAAAATAATTGACTACAACTTCCTCAGATTAATGTCTTTTCTGTATTTCTTTTTGTGGTGAATCTTAGTTATACTGTGCTGCTATAACAGAAATACCAAAGACAATGAATGGCTTTAGCAAGCTTGTAATTATTCTCTCACAGTATAGGAGGCTAGAAGTCTTAATTCATAGCACTGACTCTTGAGAAAGGCTCATGCCTCCTTTCAGCATTTGTAGACCTAGCATTCCTTGGAGATCTCCATGTGTCCTGTCATCAATCTTGGATCTAGGAGGTTCAGGGATCCAAGATCCAAATGACACAGTCCCCTCTGGCTTTTCTTTCTTGGTTCCTCTGATCTTCACTTACTTCTTCTTTTCTTTGAAGATGTTGTAGGCCACATGCCAGGGAAACTTCACTTATATCACCCACATAAGGGCTGAAATGGGACTAAGGGTGTTACATCTTACTCTTAATCCTCTTCTTGATTTATCACATCAGATCACATTGTGGGGGATCGTCACATAACTGCCACATTACATCATTATATAACTGCCAAATCACTGAGAATCATGATCTATTCAAGTTGACACATTTGTTGGGGGACAAATTACTCCACAACCAGATGTTATGCACTCACATCCCATAAAAGCTGCAATAAGTGAGTACTCCCAATATTAGCAGGTAGGTCCTCCCAGCTTCTATGCCATCCCAGTTCTCCTATCTTGAGCTTCTGGACCTACCCAAACTCTCTAATACCTCAGCTGCCATCCAAAATTCTGAGCTCTCAGCCTGTGCTTCTTTATATTTGTTGTCCAGTGTTTTAGTTACAAAGGAAGTAAATCGGAATCTTCTCTCACTTTCCCATCTTGCTTCACCTCTGTATCAGTTGTATATAACAAATTTGAAAAAAAAGTAAATATGCTACATAGCTATAATTGAGTTATCAAATGTTTTAAGTAAGAGGTGCTTGCAATTTGTTTCCAAATATATGACTTCCTGTTTTGACAGGTTTGGTTTAACTTTGGTACTATGGCCTTGTACCTCCAGATGGAATATCTTGCTTACTTCTGTGGTCTGAGGGTGATTGCCACCACACTCCTCTAGGTAAAGAATGACAACCAAGGAGTGAGGAGAAACTCAACTTCAAATTCAGTCCTCTTGACTACTGAGCTATGACTTCCTCCTACCTATTTGTTGAATACGTCCTTAGCAATACAGCTTTCTCATCAGTCTCCTCCTGGATATAATTCTGTTTTTTTCTTTGGAGAGGTGATGCTGTTATTTCATTTTTAGGTTATTATTTATCTTTACTAGTTTGCTACTTATTCAACCTGTATGCTGAGCAAATAATACGAGAAGCTGGGTTCTATGAAGAAAAACGTCAGGATTGGAGGAAGACTCATTAACAACCTGCGATATGCAGATGATACAACTTTGCTTGCTGAAAGTGAAGAGGACTTAAAATATTTACTGATGAAG